ACCCTGGCATTCATCACAGAAAAGGTAAAATGGTATACCATGTGTTCTGTCGGCACAGATTTTACAATGTATCAGATGAAGCACAAGGAAGAGGAAAACAAGGGTGGAATCCACCTCCGTGACCGTCATTGGCGTTACAAGGCATGTAAGGAGCAGGATGTCACACCAGCTCCAAAACAGTGCATTTCAAATGTCTGCCCAGTGTAAATACATAGAAACATTGTGTTTTTTTCCTTATAAAAAATACATATTACACATAAATATTTAGATCAGTGTTTATAACTAAACAAGCAAAATGCTCCAAACATGAAAGTCCTATCTAAGTTTCTTCAAAAGCAGCTATATATCTCAAATGTTTACTTTTCCCCATGTTTTATTTATGAAAAGTTCCTTTCTATCTGTCACTTGGCGAGCTCAGGGCTTGTTAGCCTGAAAGTCACTGGCCTAAATTCAAATACATTTGCACCTCCTCTTCCTTGCTTTAATAAAAACTCATCCACAAGTGTGAGGTCTGGTCTGAATCTGTTTTCTGTCGAGTCACGGTCACTTTGCCCCAAGAGCCTGGATTGTGGGCCAGTCAGACCCAGGTCCTGCTGCCTGGCACAGTCAGAATGTAGCCAGGATAAGAGCCAGAGCCCAATACCTTCATTTACTGCTGAAAATCTCCAGCCAAGAAGAAGCAAGTGCCATCCGCTAAGAATCACAGATCTGCATTTTGTTATTCTAGGTTTGGAAACTGTCAGAAAGTGATCTGAGTTGAATCCAGCTTGTCATAAACAGGGCAGTGGGGAGGCCCCAGCAATGCACGGCCTCAAAACTGAAAGTCACATGGGGATCTTTAAGGTGTTGAGAACAAAGACTGCTCTAGAGCACAGAGCATCCTTACAATCAGTTTTTCTCCTCCCTTCCTGATGAGGCTGTTGGCTATTTTATTTTTGCTATGTTCGATTTTATTTCCAATGGAGTTGTTTACATTACCATGTGTCTTAGTGTTTAAAAGTTACAAGTTGACATTTATAAATTATATAAAAGATGTAAGGAATAATGAAAAACAGCCATAGACATCCCAACCTGTCTAAGAAATGCAGGATCATCCACATCTTTGGAAGCGTCTGTACATCCCTCCGTTCATCAATCCTGTTCATTATTCTCAGTGTTTTCTTTATATTTTTACCAAAGTAAATGCATTGCTAAATCATATTTTATTTTGTATAGTGTTGAAACTAGAACAAAAGGAGTCATCCTGTACAATTTTTCTGCAAGTCGCTTTTATTTCTTGCTCAGTAGCGTGTCTACATAATTTACTTTTACGATGTTTTGCTGTAGTTTATTTATTTTAACTTGAGCACGATCCTCCAGCATATTGCTGAGCACATACCTTCCACTCGATTGGACTGGGTTGGTCCCCATTTTTTGCTATTACAAAATGGCGGGGTTTCTCTAGCTCTAGTTGTTGAATCGCTCTGTCAAAAGGCCCGCTCTCTTCAGCCTGGACCATGTCATCATAAAGCATTTTCCAAAGCGATGGCTCTAACTCACAGCCCCACCACAGTCAGAACACATGTGCACGGGCATGACATCATTACATAGGCAGCTTTCCATGATGCCAGCAAAACACTCCATATCAAAGACATTCTCAGAACTGAAACTACTTTCTAGATACCAACGTGAACATTGAGAAATTTGGGGTCTTGGGTAGCAGTTTGCTGCAAGCCTGGGAGAAATGTGGGATCATTTGGAAGTTCTTATCTACTTAAGGGAGTCTTCTCAGAAAGAAAGGAGAAATGGGGAGAAAGACACAATATTTGTAGAAATAATGGCTGAAACCTTACCAAATTTGATGGAAAAATCTTAATCTATAGATTCAGTATTTACCTGCAGTAAAATAAAAACAAGCAGATCTGCTCTTAGATACATCACAGTCAAACCATGGAAAAACAAAAGAGAAATTTTGAAATTGCAAGACAAAAACTTCTCTTCATACACCAGAGGACCACATTAGATTAACCACCGACTTCCAGTCAGAACCAGTGGGGCAAAGGCCCTGAAATGACAATAGTCAAAAAGCTGAAAGAGAAAAAGTTGTTCAGGTGCTTGGGTGGCTCACTCAGCTGAGCATCCAACTCTTGATTTTGGCTCAAGTCATGATCTCAGGGTCCTGGGATTGAGCCCCATGTCAGGCTCGCTGCTCAGTGGGGGGTCTGCTTCTCCCTCTCCCTCATCTCCTCCCCCTGCTCATGCTCTCTCTCTCTAAAATAAATAAATAAATCTTTAAAAAAAATTGTCAACCCAGAATTCCATACCCAGCAAGTCTGTCCTTCAAAAATGAAGGCAAAATAAAGATATTCCCAGATATACAAACTTATAAGAATTACTAAAGGAAACCTTTGAAATGACACAAAACAAAACAAAAACTTGATTCTTAGATTTAAAAATGCTGGATTTGTTAAAGAATGTGGGTGAACATGTATATGTGTGTCTATACAGAATGTTCTGAAAGTCTTTCTCCAATTTACTCTCCACTGATCTCAGAAGCAAAAATACTAGAAACATATGAAAAACATACTTTGGAGGTTTAACTATTTCAGTTTGTTTTATACTTATTTAGCTTAGTAAATTTTGAATAATCATTAATTTTCTCAGTCCCTCTAGCTGAAGATAGTGGAGATGAACTGAAATAAAACATCTTAAGATGTTTTCAAAATATCCAGGGCTAAAGAAGCACAAAAGAAATTTGAGTTTCTTTTGTACTAGGGTGATACAAGGCAAAAACATATTATGTGGGGAGATTGAAGCTGCAGACAGAGGGCAAAAGTTCCTGGGAATTAACCAAAATTCCAAGGACAACTCCAGATTTTTTAAAGCTATGAAACTGATGGAGCACAAGTAGAGATCTCAAGGGAACCAGGTACTATCTGAGTTCCAAGCAGGATGTACAGCAAGTTGACAAAGGTCTGTCTCTAGCAGGGTGAGAAGATAGGAGTGTCAGGCCCGGGAGGGTGGAGGGATGATGGAGCTGCAGGGCTGGGTGGTGGGAAGGGGCTGTGGTCCAGCTACTTGTGTCCCCTCCCTCCCTCAAGAGCCCTTTGTGACCAGACCACAGCTCTGTGATGTGGGCCTAGGTTTTGTGTCCACAAGTACACACCCAGTGCTCAGTTGCCTGAGGGCAGCAGTGCAATCTGGTACTAATGAATTTCAGAAGAAAGAGATGGAGAATTACCTCTTCCCTCAGAAATGCATTACTGGTGGTTGGCTGAGCTCCAGTGCCTCTTCCTGGGCACTTAACATCATCCTCGCCTTCCTGTGTGGACTGGGGCTCTTCTTCCTATTACTCTCCTACTTCCAGACTAATCCATCCTTACCACCATGCAAAAAACACAGAAACATCAGGAAGGTAAGGAACCCTTGACCCAGACCCAGCAGAGTATGATTCTATCTTCTTTTGTATTACTATTTCCATTTTTCTGAATTAATGGAGAGATGGGAAAGAATAGAACATGTATTCTCAGGAAAGAATAGAACACCATCCATCCAGGGATAAACCAGACTAGGCAGCGGTTAGAGGGGCACAAGGATTTGTACCCAAAGATCTCAGGCCAGGAGTCCAGGTGTGGTGGAGGGCTCCAGGACAATGTCCCAAACACAGTGACCAGCGGCCGAGGACCGGTGGCTAAGAGCTGCATCTCTAGCAGAGGTCAGGCCCCTGGGCGCCAGTTCACCAGCCACCTTCCCGGGGCAGGTGTCTCAGGTGAATGTTCCTCTGTCGGGGCTGATTGAGGGCAGTGCTGAGCCCAGGAGGCCCCGAGTAGTGGCTGGAGTGGGGCTCTGGCCTCGGGAAGCGGGGTCCTACGTGAAGGAGCTCAGATGCGCCCACAGGTCTGGGAATATGTGTGTTTCTTGAGCAGAGGAACAGTGACAAATTTCTCAGAAAATCCTCCTGTACATTCTTCAAAGAAGGAAAACTGAAAACATTTTTATCCATCTTGAAAAAGAAATGAGTAAAACGATAGAAAACCACAGCCCCCCCTTAATTAAATGTAGGAAGTCACATTGTTCATGAGCAGCGAACATCTGCTGCTGGGGGTGTGGGTCCCAGCCTCCCCGTGTTCTCTCATCTCAGTATCAAGCAGAGCCACGGAGAAGGAACAAGAGAAGTAAGAAGAAAAACCAGACTCTGAAAGGTGAGCATCTGCCACTCAGCCCTGTGCACCCCAGTTACACCAACCCCCTCTGCTCTGAGGGTCCAGCCCCACCGTCTCCAGGACACCAAGGCCTGAGCCCGTCACTCAGGAAACAGAGCCCTGGGAGGGGGAGGGGCTCCTAGGAATGGGGAGGGGCTCCTGGGGGGGGAGGGGCTCCTGGGAGGGAGAGTGGAACCCGGACCTTCCCAGATTCTGGGCCAGAACAAAGCCCCAAGGGGTTGGAAATGGGTGTCGCCCAGCACGGGCCCCAGGGCCTGGACTGGGAGGTGGGACCTCCAGCTCCAACTGTTGACAAGTTGCCCAACTTTGCTCAGATTTCTCTGTGAGGCGACCCAGTCCTTTCTCCCCCAACAAGGTCATGAATGGGGAAGCACTTTGTAACGGACAAAGCGATCCCCATCATGAGCCTTGCTATCACTGTGCGGGCACGCAGCCTTGGACACTGCTGTTTGGGGCTCCTGAGTCTAATCCCCCAAAGGTCTCCCCTAAAGGGACATTGTACTCAGCCTCCTGTAAGACCCCTGGGCCCCCGCCTTCAGCTGTGACCCAGTCTCCTGTTTCCAGCTTTCAGAGATTGCCTGCAAGAACTGGAAGAGGTTCAGGACCTGTTTTCCCTTCTGCAAAGGTAAAGAACCTTCCCCCTTCTCTCCTGGGTGCTCCTCCCAGAGTCTATGGTGTGAGCCCAGGGCTGCAGGCACCCTGGGGCTGTTCTGGGGGTCTGGGAGGAGCCATGGGGACAGTGTGGCTAAAGCCCTGGGACGAGGGACAGCAGGAGAATTGTGAAATGGGTGTGGGGACATGGAGGGCCGTGGGGCCCACCCTCCTGACCCCCCTGCTCCTGGCTTCGGCTCACACCTCCTCTCTCCCACAGCCACCTGGCGAGGGTCTCTGACCAGGGGCACTTTCAGCTCTTACATCAAGCGGCCCCTGGGCAGGTGCGCAGAGCAGTGCCTGCTGGAGCCCATCAGCCATGCAGGGAGCGTATGGAAGATGCTCCCACTGTGGCCCCATCACCTTCCCCCGCTCCTCTGACGGGACACCCTCTACCCCTGACCTCCTCAATTTCTGTTCATTCACACTCCTCCCTGAGTACTTCCTGGCCATCGGAGCCTTTCCTTCCCCCAGATGGCTTTTCACACCAGCCACTTGCTCTTCCCCCTTCCCCACCATGGCTCCCTCCTTCAGAAGCCTGCCCTCCGCCTCTGACAGCCTCCTTGGCCCTGGAGCAGCCAGACTCTCCTCTGACTCTCCCTCAGTGTGACTCAGTGGCACCCCCACTGCGCCCCATCCCACAGAGCTCGTCTCCACACACCCCTTGGTTAGCTTCTTCTGTCCCAGCCATCTCAGGCTTGGGCCGCTCAAGCTGTCCGATTTCAGCCCTGTCCTGGTGGCAGGCGGCTCCCAAAACCTGGAGCCTCTCCACCTCCACACGCTTGGAGTCCCATCAAGAGCCTCTGGCCCACCGCCCACCAGAGGCCTTGTTCTGGGGAGACCCCACACACAGACAGGGAGAGACTGGAATCCCCCCTTTCATCAACCTTGACATCCAGAAGCTTCTGGAGATACTAATCGCCAAGAGAACAGATCTGAAGATTCAGAAGGAGAAGGAAGAGAAGGAAGAATCAGACTGCCACCTGACCTCTTTTGGGAGAATGTTCAAGTCGCCAGGTGACAAGCAGGACACCATGGGTGACCAACACTTCTGGAGCTTGAGAGACAAACCAAAACAGCTGCTCAGTCCTGAGAAGCCCCCACATCCCAAGACTTTGGGGGACAATTTACAGCAGAAATGCAACCAGCTCTTCTGGGGTCTCCCCTTTCTGCACAGTGAGTCCCTGGTGGCCACTGTCAGCGTGACTGATTCCCCACTGGAGTTCCCGTCTGTCCAATTCAATGAACTCTCTCATGCCTTGCCACTCCAAATTCAGGCCAACATAGCTCCACATCTTTCACTGACCCAGTCATTACCTGACATTTTGGCCCAGCCCCAACCCTTGACCCTGGACTTGTCCCAGTCCCAGCCCCTGCCTCTGGCTCAGCCCCAGCACCTGCCCCTGCCTCTGGCTCAGCCCCAGCACCTGCCCCTGCCTCTGGCTCAGCCCCAGCACCTGCCCCTGCCTCTGGATCAGCCCCAGCACGTGCCTCTGCCTCTGGCTCACCCCCAGCCCCAGCCCCAGCCCCTGGATCAGCCCCAGCCCCTGCCTCTGGATCAGCCCCAGCACCCGCTTCTGGATCAGCCCCAGCCCCAGCCCCTGCCTCTGGCTCAGCCCCAGCCCCAGCCCCTCCCTCAGGCTCAGCCCCAGCACCTGCCTCTGGCTCAGCCCCAGCCCCAGCCCCAGGCCCACTTTGCACCCTCTGTCCCAAACGGACCATCTTCTCTTCCACCTGAGATGGGGACCTATGAGGTATCTTGCCCTGAATCCCAGAAGACACCATCTTTCACCTCAAATGCAATTCAAAACCTGGAATGTCACTTTTTGAAGAAGCAACTAGAAAGGGGCAGGACCTTACCTGCTGTGGTGAAAAGATCTCAGGAAGTGTTTAGCCAAGGTTCTCCCGACCTTCCACAGGATGGCCAGGACCCCCAGGGCCATGGGTCAGTCTCTGTCCTTCCCAGGGACTTGATCGACCCTGAGCTCCGGAAGCAACTGGAGTGGCACCTTTGGAAGAAGTTCATGAAGCACCAAAGTGGCCTGCCCCGCAGGATCCAGCTATCTGTGAAGCCTCACAGAGAGTTCCAGAAGGTGCCACAGGCAATCCGCCGGCACAGGCCCGCGTCTGAGTCTGACTCTACAGACGGAAGCTGCCAGGCTACACAGAAGACTGGGTCCAGGTACCCAGCAAGGACCATGCCAAGAAAAAGCCTGGGCAAGGATTCAAGGTCTACTGCAGGGAGGATCCGGAAAGATCTACACAAGGGCTCGGCGAGCTCTCCGGGTAAGGCTCCAGGAATAAATTCTGAGGAGTCGGACACAGACTTGAAACCTTCAACAAGCAGTGCAGACAAGAAGCACCCAGAGAAGGTCCTAAGAGCCCATTTGGGCAGGAAGTTGGGACAGATCAGAGAAGGTCAGATCCCTGCAGATGTTCATCGTTCCAGGCTCGCTGCCCACCATGCCTTGGACCTTCTCAGAAAGCCAAGCACTCACGGGAAAACTGGAAAGCCAGCATTTTCCAAGGGTTGGGAACCCTACAGGACCACCTCCCACAATTTTTCCATCCTCAGTCCGTACACTCAACAGATGCTAGAAGCACATATTATAAGGTTTCGGGTGAAGCACAGGTGGAGCCTACCCCTCAAGGTCCTCAAGCCTATAAATCTCTTTAAGTTGAAAAAGAGCTTCTTCTTTCCCCGGTCCTCTACTACCCGCTTAGCCACCTGTGTATCTAAGGCGTGCTCCAAAACCAAGTTCTTGGGAAAACCTCCTCAGCCCCATCAAGGAGAGAAGGTGGCAAAAGAGTCTTACCCCACCTTGGGGAGTCCTCTCCCTGCTCCCCAGCCGACATGTGAGGAAATCCACCAGGCCCTGCAAGGGACCTCACCACGTGATGGCCGTGGGCCCTCGGAGGCCCCTCTGGCTGGACAGGAGGCCAGGTCACCTTCTCAGACCCTCACATACAGCTTTGTGGGCAGAATCTGGCACAGGGAACCTGCCTCAGGGACTCTTATGAATAGCAACCTGGAGTCAAGTCCAAGTCCAGCAACGAGTGAGCCAAGGAGGGAGAGTGGGGGTCGGGCCTCACAAGACTCCTGCTATAGCATAAAAGTGCTAGAGCTCAACTTAGAGTCCCAGTATTTGAGTGCCAGAGAGTCCAGGGAGGCGGGGGAGGTCGAGGAGGCCCCTGCTTGGGGAGTCACCTTGGAACCCAGGGTGTGGGCCAACAACCAAACCAGCCGTGCAGATCTGAGAAGATCAGGGTCTTCAGAGAAAAGTGACAGCCCCTCGCCACCTACAGAGTTGGTCACCCAAGACCCAGAAGAGCTATGCTTTGATGCACAGTTCAGAGAGTTTGAGCTCCGGAAGTTGATGGAGTCAGAGAATCAGCCTCAAGACAATGCCGCCAGCGTGCTCCTTCAAGACTGTGAAACTGGTGTCCTCCTTCAAGACTGTGCCACTGACAGCCTTCTTCAAGACTGTCAGTCCGATGTATTCCTCGCCGCAGACATCTTGGCTTCTCAGGGGTCTCTGTCTGACTTCCAGAGTGGGTCCAGGGAAGACACATCAACTTCCCAGGTGCTGTATGGCCTCAGATCAAGCGGACAGAAAATCCAGAGGCAGCCAGAGCCCCTGGGACTGCGGGACCAATATAAGAGCCGAAGAAAGTCATCTGTCCCCACTGCTGAGAGAGAGTACTACTACAGGAGACCCAGCCGGAGAGAGCCTGAAAAAGAGTTGTCAGCACTAAAGATCCTCCAAATCAGTGAGATGAGCCACACTGCCCAGCACAAGGATGCAGCGGAGTCCTCAGGAAGCAAGGCCTGTCCACTCTTGCTGAAAAAGGAGATGGTTCCTCCAGAAAGCTACTTCAGAAGAGGGATGAGGCACTTTATACAGTGTTTTTCTTCCAGTAAAGGCAAAGGACTGGAAGATTCCCTTCAAAAAGGCAAGTCTTCATCATCCCGGAGTCGGAGACCAGTCACAGGCAGATCAACTGTGGACAGTGCAACTGCCAAGGCTCAGGTGCTCATGACAGCTGTGGGACAGATCCTACAGGAGAAAATGGTGCCTCACCATGGAGTTAGGGCCCCGGAGTTCAGCTGGTGCCAAAGGGATCTCCAGGCTTCGGCAGGTCCCAATGTCTGCTACCACAGAGTCCTCTCCTATCAAGAGCAGAGGAGAGTGATGAGAAAGACAGCTTCCAATCAGCAAGCCACCCCCAAGGGCCACAGCTATGCCAACAAGACCGAGTGGATCAGAAGCAGGGACAAGAGGTGGGCCTTCCCAGCCAGGGCGCCGGGGTGCCCAGGCAGACCCTGCCAGCATGGGTCCGGGGTGCCAGGAGCTTCAGGCTGCCCTCTGCACCCCCACTGCCCAAGGCACTGCCTCCTTCAAAGATACGTCTCATCTGGCCAGTCAGGGTGTGCTTCTCATGCCTTTCCTGGTAGGACAGCTTTTCTCCAAGAAAAAATGCAAACAGTGCAGAGAAGAACTTTTTTTTCTCATGTTAGCACATCCTCTATGTGCTAATGGCTTCTCTGGACCACAGTTATTATTGTTTCCCCAAAATAAATGTGTTTTTTTTTTTCCTCATGAGAGATGCTGGCCTCTGTCTGTGCCCTGCTCGGGGGAAGGGAAGGATCAAGGTCTGCTCTCCCCGAGTGCCTGCTTTGGCTTCCAGAGGGATGGGGCCTTGGAGGGCGGGGGACCGCGTGGTACACCCCCACCCCCTCCCTCACACGCCTTCGGTTTCCATGACAAGATGAACAAGACCAAGACCAGGATCTGGCTCCGCCCATCCTCTCTTGCTTTCTCTCTACCTTGAACTTGTGTGGCTGTAGGGAGGGTCTGCAGAGGCAGAAATCCCCCTCGGGCTCCAGGACGTGTGGAAGACAGGGTCCTATGTCAGAGTGGGGTGCGGAGTTTGGAGGCGCAAGGTTGGCCCTGAGTGCAGAGGTGGGAGAAATCCTGCCCCCCATCTCCTGGGGGAGTAGGGGACGGCCACCCCAGGAACCCTTCCCTCCCCGATGAAGCTGGGTTGACATCAGCCGGGAGCCCCTCTTAGCTCAGTGTCACCGCCCCCGCCCCATGCTCTGGAGCAGCGAGGGGGGAGCATGCTCACGGCTCTGAGGGTGTGCAGGTGGGGAGCGCAGAGACCACTGTGGACCAGTCTGCCCTACCCCAGACGAGTGAAGGGCCCTGCTCACCAGCAACCCTTTCCCCTTCTGGGGGATGGAGCAGGGGTGTGGCTGGGAGGCAGGGGGACACTGCACCTAGAGTGGGACTCCAGGAAGGAGGCAGAGTGACATGGTGTGCCCAGACCTGGTGTGACGGCCGGGGACCCGTGGTGTCCCACGGCCACCTACAGGCCCAGTGGAGGGGAGTTAAGAGGCCCCGTGGCCGTCCCCGCAGGGTCTGCACCCCACTCCAGCTGCCGGGCCCAGGTGGAAAGAAGCCCCCCGCAGCTCCCACACAGAGGGTCGGGAGGCCAGAGGCAGCAAGGCCTTCGGGCAGGGAAGCTTAATTTCTGCACAATTTGCTAAGATTGCACGGGACTGGGGGCCTCGTACAGACTTGTAGTCTGTGACCTTTACTCACTTGTGTGGCCCAAGGACAGCTCCCAGGGGACTGGTGGGGACTCCAAGGCCAAGGGACTGGCCCGGGTCATGTGGCCAGTCTTGCCTGGATCCCGGTCTTGGTTACCCCAGAGCCCGGAGGGGGAGGAGGTCATCAGAGAGAGTTCGCCCCACAGCCGGCCGGAACGGACCTGTCCAGAGTGAGGGTGCAGCCCAGGAGGGGCCCCCTGCAGGCCCTGCTCCCGGCCCAGCGTCATCCTCCGGGGCCCCCCCACATCGCTCACGTGGTGGAGAGTCCTGCTCCAGGAGGAAGCCCCGATCCAGACGGCAGCAGGCATGCCCTGCCCCCATGCCATCAGGACCCCACACGAGGGAGGGGCCCCGGGGTGCAGGGCGGAGTGGGCGCAGGCCCGCTCTGCCGCAGCTCCTCTCTGGAGCCAGCTCCTGCCTCCAGGCCCCCAGGGTGGGCCCAGCACTGACCCTGCAAACAGGACCCGGGGGAGGGGAGCCCAGGACAGAGAGCGCCCCGGGCCCTCGAGCTCAGGAGAGGGTGGCCCAAAGCAGGGTCCCTGAGCCTGGCTGCTGCTGGGTCCTCCCAGGGGCACCAGGAGGTGAGTCGGGCAGTTGGGGAACCAGACGTGCACCCCACGCTCCTGTCGGGAGAAGTGCCACGGACAGGATGCTGGTGGAACAGCCAGAATCAGGAAGGAGCAAGTCCCTTTGCCCTTCTCCTGCCAGACGGTGCAAGGCCAGAGAGGGGAAAGCCCCACGCCGAGAGACCCCGCGCAGAGACCTCTGACAGACCCACGCAGAGACCCCACACAGAGACCTCTGACACACCCCCATGCAGAGACCTCTGACAGACCCACACAGAGACCCCGCGCAGAGACCTCTGACAGACCCACACAGAGACCTCTGACAGAGACCCACACGGAGACCTCTGACAGACCCACACAGAGACCCCATGCAGAGAACTCTGACAGACCCACACAGAGACCCCACGCAGAGACCTCTGACAGACCCACACAGAGACCTCTGACAGAGACCCACACGGAGACCTCTGACAGACCCACACAGAGACCTCTGACAGACCCACACAGAGACCCCACGCAGAGACCTCTGACAGACCCACACAGAGACCTCTGACAGAGACCCACACAGAGACCCCACGCAGAGACCTCTGACAGACCCACACAGAGACCTCTGACAGAGACCCACACGGAGACCTCTGACAGACCCACACAGAGACCCCATGCAGAGAACTCTGACAGACCCACACAGAGACCCCACACGGAGACCTCTGACAGACCCACACAGAGACCTCTGACAGAGACCCACACAGAGACCCCACGCAGAGACCTCTGACAGACCCACACGGAGACCTCTGACAGACCCACACAGAGACCCCATGCAGAGAACTCTGACAGACCCACACAGAGACCTCTGACAGACCCACACAGAGACCTCTGACAGACCCACACAGAGACCCCACACAGAGACCTCTGACAGAGACCCACACGGGGACCTCTGACAGAGACCCCATACAGAGACCTCCCATGGAGACCTACACCATGACCCCACACAGACACCCCACACAGAGACCTCTGACAGACCCACACATAGACCCCACACAGAGACCTCTGACAGACCCACACAGAGACCCCACGCAGAGACCTCTGACAGACCCACACAGAGACCCCACACAGAGACCTCTGACAGAGACCCACACGGGGACCTCTGACAGAGACCCCATACAGAGACCTCCCATGGAGACCTACACCATGACCCCACACAGAGACCCCATACAGAGATCCCACAAAGAGACCCCACAGCAAGACCCTACACAAAGACCTCCCATAGAGACTCACACCCTGAGACCCACAGAAATACCTATCCCACAGATCCACACAGAGAGACCTCACATCCAAGGACCCCACACTGAGAGAACACCCACAGAGACGAACACTGGGAAATCCCGCACAGAGCCTCCTCTCTGAGAGGTCCCACACAGAGCTTGACACCTCAGAGTCACTCTTTAGGAGCCGAGCAGCCACACAGTGACAGGACCTTCATAGTGGATCTGAAATCACTTAGCAAACTGCAGTGCAGGACGAGGCTGTGCCTGCCTGAGAACACCAGACTCTGGGACATTGTCAGCATTTTCCCACATGGGGCTCTCTGCTTGGGGAAAGGCTCATGAATGTTTATCCTTTTGCTAGGTCCTTGACCCCCGAGCAAAAGAATTACAGATTCCACCTGTAGATCTGCAAACTCTCCCCTCCACAGGTTTTCATTAGCTTGTTCGAACCACAGTTTAGAGAAACAAAAGCACAAGCAAAATGCCGCCAACCTCCAATGAGAGAAAATATCTTGTCGAGTTTTACTAATGTCTAGTCAAAGGATGTCCGCGTCATATTTTTTGGAGACAAGATCTGAATTCAAGATGGCTGACTTCCTTACTTTGGAAACATGGTAAAGGCTTGTGGCAAGTCGGCTGAAGGAATAAAATAAACCAGCAAAAATCTGGACTCTCACTTCCCAGGGGGCTGGGATGTTATTTCACACATAATAGCTGTGTCAGGTTTGTGAGTTTTGTCTTATTTTTAAAGGAAACAGGCTCACAGTTATGTGAAGATTTTTACAAATGAGTCAGGTATCTAAAAATATTTCTATTTTATCCTCTGGTAAAAATTATACTTCTTAAATTTTTTTCCTTAAAATGTGGTAATGCCCTCAAATGAGATTACACATATTTCCAGATGTGACAAAGCCTTAATGTTCAGACTAGCTTAAACTGATGTACTACTTGGAAGGATTCCCTTTTTAAATAATTCTTTTAAAAATGCACATTTTGCGAGACACAGGCAATCAGGCTCCATTTTGTATTCATTATACGGCTAAAAAAGGACACATTGTTTCAAAGAGTTAGAAAACTTACAAAATATATCATTTAATCCACAAGATATGCACATGAGCTAATTACTAGAAGGGACATCTTCATATCTAAAGTGAAGGAAGTATACATTAATAAAGTGTACATTAATGTACAGAAAAAGTGTACCCTAATCATCAAAATCCTCACATTATAGAACTAATACTTTCCAAAGGGTGCATTTTAATGAGAGTATATGCATATTTCTTGCTACTCATAAGCAACTCGCTTTTCTTGCCTTGTTAAAATCTATTTTAATGACCGCTGCCAAGGATGTGTCCCTGGTTAAGTCTCTCAGATTACCCATCGGGATAACAGGGTCAGTCTTCATTAAGAGAAGCAGAGCTAACATGGAAGCTCTTTGGCCCATTGATTTCAACAAGAAATACCCTTCTATTCTCCCTTACTCCCTTACGTCATTGAATCACAAAATGATGGAATATGGTCGTGGATGTCTTATCGTATTGGATAGTATTTTTTATGTTTTAGTGTAGCTAATGCAGAACAGGTTACTGATCAGAACAAAATGGGGCCAATTAGGAAAATTTTCGTCCAGGAAATGCTTTACAAAGAGCAGTATATCCTTTCCTAGTTGACTCAATCAGATTTAAGGGAGTTGTTATTATTCCGTCTTTTGAATTAAAGTCGTTCAGCGTAGCCATGAAGTCTGCAAACACAGAGAAACGTCCATAATAGTTTATCCCTATGACATGTGAATGTGTTTCCCTCACTAACAATTCATAGGTCAGTAAACTGTGTAAAATTTCAATGAACTAATGTGCACTAAAGCAACATTCCCATCAGTCACGGCACGCACACCCGTCACAGGTAGCCTCCGATGATTTGTGGGTACAATTTCTACCACATAAACTTGTACCTTCACCCTAGAAGAAACAGTTAAGAGGGTTCAATCTATTAGAAAAACACTGAATATTTCCAGACTTCATGGCTCCCTGTATTTTATTTTTAACAAGATTCACCTCCTGTAAGTCTTATGAACATTTCACCATTTATAGATACCAAACAGAAATGGAAATCAAAAACTAAACATAATGGAGGAAATAACAAACACAGATCTCCACTTTGCTGAAAATGAAGTGATTTTTAAGGATATGTTACAAGCTTGGTTTTGAAAACAATTTATATTTAAAACAGGCCTCACACTGATTTCAATAAATCAGGTATTTGAGAACAAAATGTGGAGGGTGACAATTATGTGATAATTTTTTATTACTCCACAGGGTAAAGATCTTTTCCCAAAAGGCAAAAAAAAAAAAAAAAAAAAAAATGTATTCAGTCTACAGGGCTCTTCCTTAAGAGCGTTCCTCTTAATAGGCCACAAAAGTTTCACACACTTTTACTTTATCACCAGAAACTTCTGGAAGTGCTCCCAAATACACACAGCTCCACTTTCTGTGGTGCTCACAGCATGCGGGCACCGTAGGGAACATCCAGATCCAGAGGATTTCCCAACGGTTGCCACCTCTCGGAGGGGGTCAGATACATAATCATTTCCAGGAACAGGATCGGTGTTCAGAATCGAGCCCCGGGCCACGTGCATTGCTGCTTTTCCCACACAGAGGCGGGTCTCCATGACTCGGGCGTGCTGGGGAGCCGTCCCTCGTCCTGCCCCCTCCCCCCACCCCGCGTCCTGCGCTATGGTAACCGGGAGAGCGCATGTCAGGCACCAGTGCTCTCCATGGCCACGCTGTACCACGGAGGAAAGTAACTTGCAGATAGTATAAAATAGTGCACGCCAGGCAGGGTAGCACCTCTCACGGCAAAAGTGGGGGACAGGGTTCTCCGGCTGGAAGCATGTCCGTGCGGTCTTTCCCCACTCACCGTAAGGATGTCTGCAGCTCCCCCTCACTCCTCTGAGTCCAGAAACTGGACGCACCCCCACGTGCTCCCTGGGGCTTCCACAACCTGTGCCATTTACTTCCAACGACTACTTCAACCAGAAGTGCAGCCAGATGGACTTCTTTCAGCTCAGGCACTGCCCTTAAACCTCAGAAGCCAGGCCACCATCCTTCCT